AGATCACATTCTCTCTACTTGACCATATTTCTTTAATCTCTGGGTGCCTCAGTTTCTCTGCCTATAAAAGAGCACAATAATACCCACTTCACAGAGCTGCGGTAAGGATTAAAGAGATGACAGCCATAGGGCACTCTCAGCTACCAGGAACAAAGACATTAAGTAATTGCAAAATGTTCCTTCTGCTTTTCCTGCTTGTAAGAAAAGGGCTCCCACTGACTTGAAAGAGAGCATCACACAGATAGGAGAGGCCCACCAGGAGGAAGGAGCCTATTACCTTCATTATCATTGTCCAAAAGTGCAGAGAAAAGAAAGCAACAAAGAAGTCAGAGAACTGGGGTGGCCCAAAAACAAGACCAGGGAAAAAACTAACCAATGGACTACAAAAAGAAATGGGGAGGAGGAGAGGGGCAGGAGAGATGATCATTTTGATTTAAAAATAATCTGTGACGGTTGTGTGTCAGGGCCAGTTTTCAAGGAGCCATCTGATCACTTGATATAACACATTCATATATTTTTCACACTGGAATGTGCCTTTATCTCTGACTCTATACTTTTTGATTTACATTCTAATCTAAAAGCCTAGTGCAGTTCAAAGGTCACTCTCAGAGTAGATTAAAGTTTCCATACAGACAGCATCCTATAAGGTACATCCAAAAGATTAACTGATAGATAATGAAACTGTAATTGGTGATACTATTTTAGCATACAATAGTAAGACTTCCAAGGCTGAAGAACGGGTGTGGACCTGTACAAAATGCCACTGTTGCTTTGGTTAGCTCACAGTCAAGCAGATGTAAGAAGTCCTCCTGCACATTAATAAATGCTACTAAAAATCAAATAGGGAAAAATGGTAATAGAAGATGTTGCTCCAAGCAGTATTTTCCCAGCAAAAGCTATATCTCAAGAGTCCTTCAGAGCACTGTGGGGATGCATAAATGTTTATAAATCAACTGGCCAAGTCAGCTTGGCTGGCTATCATGCTCCTATGGGTGGATCTAGATGAAAGGCATCTCTGAATCCACCAGGTCCTCCCAGGGCTCCCTCAGCCAGTGCAGGGTCAGGGAGATTGATTTTGTGAGCAAAACGTGGATTCAAGTTCAATGAGACTTAGGCTCAAATTTCAGCTCTGACATGTCACCAGTCAAGGGACTCTGGGTAAATCACCTAACCTTTCAGAGAAGAGGATTACAGGGTCCAGCAGATAACATAATGGTTTATGGACTCCCACACAGTTGGCCATGGTTTGAGTCCGAGACCTGGAAGCTTAAAACTTACACGGGGCACATGTGCCTGTGTGCCCAAAATCCTGAGAGAAGAATGGAGAAGGCATTGCAGTGTGGACAACCCCTCCCCACCCCGGGGGGGTGATTTCTTGCTTTCTCTCTGTCTCTCCAGGAGTGCACACATCCTATAGGAAAAATCTCTCTCAAAAAAAAAAGACAGAAAGAAAGAAAGTGCCTTTATCTCTGACTCTATACTTTTTGATTTACATTCTAATCTAAAAGCCTAGTGCAGTTCAAAGGTCACTCTCAGAGTAGATTAAAGTTTCCATACAGACAGCATCCTATAAGGTACATCCAAAAGATTAACTGATAGATAATGAAACTGTAATTGGTGATACTATTTTAGCATACAATAGTAAGACTTCCAAGGCTGAAGAACGGGTGTGGACCTGTACAAAATGCCACTGTTGCTTTGGTTAGCTCACAGTCAAGCAGATGTAAGAAGTCCTCCTGCACATTAATAAATGCTACTAAAAATCAAATAGGGAAAAATGGTAATAGAAGATGTTGCTCCAAGCAGTATTTTCCCAGCAAAAGCTATATCTCAAGAGTCCTTCAGAGCACTGTGGGGATGCATAAATGTTTATAAATCAACTGGCCAAGTCAGCTTGGCTGGCTATCATGCTCCTATGGGTGGATCTAGATGAAAGGCATCTCTGAATCCACCAGGTCCTCCCAGGGCTCCCTCAGCCAGTGCAGGGTCAGGGAGATTGATTTTGTGAGCAAAACGTGGATTCAAGTTCAATGAGACTTAGGCTCAAATTTCAGCTCTGACATGTCACCAGTCAAGGGACTCTGGGTAAATCACCTAACCTTTCAGAGAAGAGGATTACAGGGTCCAGCAGATAACATAATGGTTTATGGACTCCCACACAGTTGGCCATGGTTTGAGTCCGAGACCTGGAAGCTTAAAACTTACACGGGGCACATGTGCCTGTGTGCCCAAAATCCTGAGAGAAGAATGGAGAAGGCATTGCAGTGTGGACAACCCCTCCCCACCCCGGGGGGGTGATTTCTTGCTTTCTCTCTGTCTCTCCAGGAGTGCACACATCCTATAGGAAAAATCTCTCTCAAAAAAAAAAGACAGAAAGAAAGAAAGAGAGAGAGAGAGAGAAAGAAAAAGAGAGAAGAGGATTACATACACCCTAGACTAGCCTTGCAAGGTGCTGGCAGTTTGAAATGCCCAGTATATCTAAAAGCAGCAAACACTGCATTTTTTTTTTTTTTTTACCTTTTTGGTGGAGGTATAAACAACCCAGAATGATGCCTAGACCAAAACCATCCAGCTGCTCGCTTCACTGTAGGTCATGTGGGCAAGTGATATAAAGTAAGAACAGTTTAGAAAATAGTACTATGAAAGGCCTGTATATAGTTAAGCAAATTAGGTGCCTTAATTTAAGCCCCTACTTTGGAAGAGCCAAACTGTAGTTCTGGGCTGACCCTATAGTGCGATGTTCAAGTTCTACACATGGAAGGGCCAGATCCCACATGACCTGCTATGGTACCAGTCCCAGGCCCACAACTTGAAAAACGTGCCAGGCACTTGTGTATGGATGCCCAAAATTATTATGGGAAGGAGGAAAAAGCAGTTTGGCACGACCATGTCCCATTGAGGAGGTGTGCTCATGCTCTCTTCTCTCTCTCTCTCAGTCTCTCTCTCCCTCTCTATCTCTCTCACGTCCCCACTGGCAAAAAAAAAAAAAAAGTCATAAAGTGAAGAATTCTAAAATGTCAAATGCACTCTATTTAATGGCCTGTATAATTCTGCCCTTTTTATATTGTTAACTTGTAGAAATTACGCACATAAAACATCTCTTTTAAAACCACACAAGTTGGCCACTCATGGGGACTTCCCAGGGACTGTGTGCTACCAGGTCAGTCTTTTGTCCTGAACACAGAAGAGGCAGGAGACGGCCCAGACCTGGAAAGTTCTCAGAGCTGATGGGATAAGCTCATCAGCCTTAACTAACTTATCCCATCAGTCTTCTCACTGAAAAACTGAGGCTTGGAGAGGGGAGGTAACTTGCCCAAAGTCAAACAGTGAAGGCCTTGGGTTATTTGCTTATTAATAAGCAAATAAAATAATTAATAAACAAACCAACAAACAAGCAAGCAAATAAATCAAACCAGGAACAACAACAGCAACAATAACAAAATCTTGCCACAAAGGTGTATCCCCTGGTATTTCCAATTCAGACATCATTAACCTGGCTGGTACTGAGTCTGCTCTTTAGGAAGGTAGTTTTCCTGTAATATCACAACAGACGGAAACTCACTAAGATAGGGCAGTGTCATTTTACACTTCCCAACATGACACAGAACCTCATTTCCAACGTGTCTAGCGATTGACTGAAAACAAAACATATCATCTAAAGAACATTTGAACATTGTTACATATGATATTTGCTTCCCACGGTAACAGACGCAAGACTAGGACAGGGAAGTTAACAAATCAAGTACTTTAGCACATTTTAGGGTGTCCATCATGCCTACTTGTCTGACATAAAATTATCTCTTAAATCTGAACATAATTATTTCTAATCACTGATGAGTTTATTTTCAAAGGTAATAACCCACACAGAGAAATACTTACCAAAAGTTAGTTTAGAATTAGGCACCTGTTTCATAAGAGTCCAGCGGTTAATCCTCATTACTAACTCTGCTTCCACCACTGGGATTGAGGGAAAAGTCTGTCCTGGATGTACTATTTATGAACCAGGTTGTTCCGAGGCTAATTTCTAGTTCAAACGCACTTCAATGCTTTGAAATAGTTTTGCACTCCTGTTAGGAAACTACCACCAAGACCAGAGTTGGGAAAGAGATAGACAAGGCATGAAGTCAGGGGGTTTCAGATTTTCAGAATAGAAGGGGCCATAGGACCTGGCTAAAGAGAAGACACTTGAATTTCCGGTTGAAACTCCAGAGGAAAGATGTGATCATATCAGACAGGCCTGCAGAGTATCATTGGGGAGAAAAAGAAAGGGGATGGCAGCAAGGGATGGGAAGGGAAGGGATCTAAGGAAGGGAAAGGGGAAAGGAGAAGGGGGCGGAGAGAAGAAGGCAGGCAGGTGAAGAAAATGACAGATGTAGAGACATTTTGAAGAAATTTTAGGCGGCAACAGACATGGAGCTAAGAAACCATGGATTAAAATGGACTAGGTGGTTTGGAATTTGACAGAGAAGTTCTGTTCAACTACTTAATTGTATATTGCAGGTGTATATTAAGGGATTAGATGTTATTCTTCTTAAAATGTTTTTAATTAATATTTTCTCCCAAGAAATATGCTCCATTCATAGCAGAGAAGAAAGAGATCATTCAATTTGATTGATTTTTGTGGAATAACAACTCAAAACTACTTGAATCCCAGCCTTTGACAAAGTTATATATCCACATAGGAGAGGAAAAAACACCCTCTCCTCGCAAAGAGAAACTCATCCTATATTAGCAGGTATCACAGTGTGGACATAAGAAATAGCAAATACACAGTTTGATATTTAGGTTGTCAAAGTGAAAAAAAAAACATTAAATTATATAGAATATGATTTTCTGATTCCCCCAAATTACTAAAAACTCAATAGTTTTCTTGGCTGTAACTACTTGTAAATATCTAGAAGAGCCCAGATTTTGAAGCCCTGAGGACACTTGCTAAAACTAAGAAATTTGGCACTAGTCTTTGCACACAATTTGGGTTTTCTTCAGAGTTGATATCTTACCAAATACAGCCATCTGTGTTCCCTCTGGGAAAGGTTCAACTGTTCTGTTGCCATTGACATGATGTTTGGCTAGAAAAAAAAAGAAATACAGAAGAAAGAAATGCAAGTTTAAGTGTAAAGTTCTACACACATACTAACACATGTCATTAAATGTGTCAGTGAGCCTGTTTCTCAGTTGGAGTTAGAAAGGCACCAAAGCTTACCCTCTTAAAAGACTTTCAATTATTTTGTTTTTAATCTCAGTTACAGAATAACCTAGACATTGTCTAGTTCAGATATGCTGTTTTATAAACGAGTGTACAGAGGCCCAAGCTTGTGCAGAGCTGGACAACAGCTGATAACAGTCCAGCCTGATGGCACCTGGTTTCTAGCTGGAGAGTCCCCACTGTGCCAGGCAGTCCCCTGGAGAACCAGAGAAGCTCTAGGTTCCAGACTGAATTGAGTGGCTCCCCCCCAACCATCGTTGGGACAATGGTTATCTAAAATGAGAATTAAAAATAGCAGGGTAACTTTGGGACCAATTTTTCAACAGAGTAGCAGGACATCTTGTGTCACTACAGTCTGAACTCGGTTCCCAGAAGCCAAAGATGCTACCATTTTTAAGGACCACACATACATTCCAGTGCTAATTAACAGTCTTTTACCACCACCACTCCCAGGCCCCACAACCAATTATCCAACCCAACGTAGTACATATCAAAGACTAAGAAATAAAAAGTGACCAGTTTATGGTTTAGTATTAACTTATTCTCACAACCCCCAAACTGTGCCAAATAGCAAATACTGGAGTATGTTCCATCTGTATTTTATTATAATTATATCCTCAGCAATGTTTGAATGTGAGCGTTTACATAGAAAAACACAGAAGAGAAGAATAGCTAAAACACTTTGAGGCTGTATCAATGGGAACCTACATTTTGATTTAATGGGTCATATTAGATTTACTGAGCTCTGGCAAAGGGCATTCAAACCAGACTCCGAGGAGTCCAGGGACACGCACGGCATGGTTCTGTCCTCAGGAGAATATAATTACCTTTAAGAAGTAAAAGTTTCTGGGCCAACCATGGCCTAGTGCTTCTAATGCTAAAGGGAGCCTGATTCCATATAGCCAAATATGGTTCCAGTCTTAGCCATGTTGCCTTGAAACTATACCAGGTACATGTGTATGCACACCCCTAAGATCCTGACAGGGTGAAAAAATAAAAGAGAAAGGACTGCATTGTGACCACACCCCATTGGAGGCAGTGCTTTCTTTCCCCAGCCTCCTGTTTCTCTGTCTCTCTGTGGCAAGCACTATGCCCTCTGAATTAAGACAGAGAGAGGAAGGAACAAAGGAAGGAAAGAAGATAGATTTGAAGAAAAAATATTAGAGAAAGCTTATCATTATTTGCCAAGTCCTGGAATGTAGAGTGATGCACGTGTGGTAGGAGTTCCTAGAAGAGAGACCACGTTGGAAAGTCAGAGCACACTACATGAAGGAACTGGGGCTCAGGACAGGTGTACAAAATGAGAGTGAGGAAGCTACTTGAGGGAGGGCCAGGAGAGATCTTCCCAGACCAGGGGACAGTCAGGGCCTCCTGGAGGTGTTACATTGAGAAGCAATGGCAACTAAGGACAGATTAAGACTGGGACCATGTCACAGAAGGTCTTGAGCACCCCTCCTAACCCGTGGGAACCCTGGGCAACCTCCACAGCACCACTGCAAGTCCCTTCGAACCTGAAGGTTTACGGGGTTCAATTTAGATCGACAACCCTTGGGATTCCACTGGATCAGTTCAGGCACTCGGCTGGTTATCATGTAACTATGGCAATATCCTAAGACAGAAATTCTGGAAGAAGAGGAGTCAGCCCAGGGTTCAGAGCACAGCAGACTTACAGAAGCCTTTAACTACTAATTGGCACAATTAGGAGATGGACGATAGACAGTCCCAGGTGACCTTGTCAAGCACTCACTAATATGGTAGGGACAATTGGTTACTGAATCCAAGAAAACATGAAGAAATATCATGTGAAGGTCAAAGTTCTGTTGTATGGCCAGCGCCCCACAGACCCTGCAGTGGTTTTGCAAACATTTATCTTTACCCATACCAAGAGTCAGAACCCCAATCATATTTGCCTCTTTTCCATTTTACACCTGTGGCAGACATTACTAATTGACCACACCATACTTTTGCTATCTCCAAATGTGACTACAAAAACCCTTTCTTAACTTGGCACCCCACAGAGTCTCTTACTGTTTAGGGTTAGTATGTGCAATTAAATCATTTTGCCATTTCTTGCCCATGTGAAGAAACAGAAATATAGTATAAAGAATGGAACCATTTTCCTTCTCATTTTAACACTGCAATGAAACCCTCTGAAAATCTCCCAAACTATTTCATAACTATTTTCTCCCTCATATAGCTTTAGTAATAAAAGAATGGGGGCAGGGACTCCATAATGAGAGAATGGTGAGTTCTTTAAAACCAAACAATGGCAGTTCTATTTCTGGAAACCAAGGCTGAGTTTCTAAAGACATTTTCCCACTGAAGCTCTTATAAGGCAAGTAGTTGGGTGCCAAAGAACCAGAGATCCTTTAAATACATTATATAGGTTAAATAAGATTAGTGGAAGGGCAGGCTAACCTGGGAATTGTAACCAGCCTTTATAAATTTTGTTTTCGAAATTGGTGGCATTTCCCACCACAAAACAATCAAACCTACTGAACAAAAATGCCATCCATTGATTGAGTTCTAATCGTTGATTCCCAGCAGAGTATGAAATAGAGATGAGGGGCCTCTGGTAGGGACATCTGCTGCCCAGCCAGAGCAGGGTGGACGCCTCCAATCTGACAGGTTGGGCATGTATCGCTGCCCCTGCTCTGCTCTCGGGGGGAACATGTCAAAGTCACACACTCCAGGAGGACAACCCCTGCTGATGGCGATGACTTGTCCTCCAACAAGGGTAGATGAGGCCAAGGAATAGATTTTCATTTATCTTGAAAAGCCTAGTGCTTGAGGAGTAGAAAGGTTAATTAGAGCAAGATTGGGCCAAAGTCAACTTTTGCAGAGATTTTGAAGGGGACTTGAGGGACATGTTCAAAGCTTTAGATGATATTGAGACTGCTCTTTATTTTGTTTTATCAATGTTTAATGTATTTCAAATTTTATGACTATTTTCTTCCTTGAAAAAGGTACAGTAAAACTGCTTAATAATATACCTGCAATAATACAAATTCAGGCATAAATCAACCAGTGACAGGCTCCCTATTCTGTGCTCAAATTGGTATGGCTAAAATTCGTATTCTCTGGGTTCGGGAAATGGATGTGTAAATAGTGGGAAGTTGGGGGTTAAAGGTGAGTCCCAAACCCTTAGTATTCTCCGTAGGTCCATCTCCTCCTGATGGACCTTTGGGGTGGCCAAAGGGATATTACTTAATTGGAGGCTGTAGAGACGGTGGCTGCTCTGCAGGGAGTCCTGGCCAGTCACTGGACACAAAATTAATCCAGGACCAGGAAAGCTTTGAATTAGAGTAAACCCTCAGAGCTGCCGGTCAGCCAGAAGTGAAGCCCCTCCCCATCATGCCATTAATCCTGCAGTAACCCAACCCACACTCCCCATCATGTCATTAATCCTGCAGTAACCCAACCCACACGTCACATTACTGAGTTGTCTGGACTGACTTTCCACGTGTTACTGCCAACCATTCATGCTGCTTTTAAGCTGATCAGGGGTGGGTAAGATCATACCAGGGCTGTAGTAAAGTACCTTTCTTTCATTAATATGGTAATAAGTATCTGTTGACACTCCTCCCTCCCAAAATACATCCTCACAATCCCTCATTATCTGTTCCCCTATGGCTCTTCCTCCGAGAATCTCGAGCTCATGCTATCTCAAGGTACAAGTCAGACTGGAACCAGCAGAGTTCCTGTGAAACCCACAAGCCCCAGCCTGGGATCGACCTATCGTATCTTCAGCAGAGGGATTCTCAGGGATGCTGAGTAAGTATTCTGAGCCCTGATCCTACCTGTGTTGCCCCCACAGCATTAAGGATGATTTGACTGTTCCTCAGATACAAGACAGGAGCACTGGGAGAGGGGAGGTGATGGTGCCTCTAGTTACACATGCGAGAGGCTCTGTGTTATCGCTTTTGTCCCTTACTGTTCCCCGTAATTTGAGGCTATGGTGTTTAAAGGTGAGTGGTTAAGAGTGGGTTTCCCCGCCCAGGAGCATGCTCTGTACATCAGGAGAGGACGAGGGGAGATGGCATGGCAGTGGGCAGGCTGCCAGAGGATACTGCTCAGCTGAGGGCTGACCTCTGCTCCCATCGATCCCATGTCCAAGGACTCCTTGCTGATTGGTCAGGCAGCTACGATCTGTGGCTAGGGAGGCTAGACAGAAAGTCCCTCATAAAAGCCAAGGTGGGAAAAGACAAATGTCCCCAAATGCTGTTGGACCCAGAAAGCAAGCTATACTCTCAAAGCTCAGAGAAGAGGGGACGCTAGCCCTCGGTGTCCTCCTCAAATGATGACCAATGTCTGCACGTAAGCGGGGGCTGCCCTAGAAAAAAAAGGTATGCCACTTAAAACACAGAAATGCCAGATGAGGGCAGCTGAAGGTGGCAGCACTCTAAACAAGTCGTGTACCATTCAGGGTTTTGTCCTCACTGAGGTCCTGGCTGCGGCCCTCCTCCGGTTACTCCTACCCAGCACCACAATTCTCCCTTCTCCCTTTGCTCCAGGATCCTGCAAGCAGGTGTGCATCTCTCAGCCAGTAAAAAAGCAGAAAAGCATCTCGGGCACCCCTCACTCCTCCTGGCATCTCTCAGCTGGACTTTATTTTTTTTTAATTATTTAATTTTGCTTATTATTATTATTATTTTTTAATTTGACAGGAGAGAGAAAGGGAAAGTGAGATAGCAAGTCACCAGGTCCGGGACTCAAACCATGGTTGATCATGTGAAAGTCCAGTGCCGTAACCACCACACCACCTGCCAGCCCCAAGCCTAGACTCTAAACAGTCAGCATAGGTCAGGCAGAACAAGCCAAGACCTAACCCCAACCTGCACAATAACACATTTCATTGAGGCC